TATATATATATATATATATATATATATATATATATATATATATGCAGTTGTGTGTGTGTGCGTGCGTGCGTGGTGAGTGAGTGAAAACATAAGTGATATATGCTACTAAGGCAAACGGACACACATCTAACTGGACATCCTTGCAGTTTTAGTCTTTAATTACTAATATTTAAACCTTTGAAAATAAAATAAAATGTATGTATAGATTTTATGTTAAAAATTTAAATATTTATCAATAAAAAACCAGAACTTTGAGAATGTCCAGAATCAGATATGTGTCCAAGTTTTGATATTTTTATGTTAACTTTTTCTTCTTGTTCATTTGTTTTTTTAGAAAAGTAATTAATTTTACAAATTTATTTCTAAAATTTCATTCCTTTTTATTAGTATCTCTAAATGTGATTTATAACCTTCTGATTGACTTATAAGCACATTTGGAAGTACTTTCATCAATGAAAGGAAGTTCCAAATAAAGATCCCAAAATTTCATGCAAACTTGAAGTTCTAAAATTTCCTTCTTTTATATTGGCAAAAGTATTAATATATCTAAATGTAACTTTGAGCTTTCTGATTGGCCAATAAGTACATTTAGAGGTATTTTTATTAATGAAAAAGTGTTTAGAATAAAGACCCTGAACTCTCTTTTCTACTTGAATTTAAAAGCTGATTAATCTAATTGAGCAATGGAAATGTGAAACTTCTCGCGTTCACGCTTCACTGTCGACACGCAGTGCTGTGAATAATATCTTGCTTTTCTTTGTTTGCAGGTTGAAGCTTTTGAAATTGAAATTAGGTTTCTTCACATCTTAAAAATACTGCGAAAGGCATACCGACTTCAAGAGTAACAACAACACATTGCGGGACGCAAAAATAATTTATTAATCCAAAAAGATCGCAAATTATTACATCAGGGAAATAAAAGAAAAACACAAAAACAAACCAATTTCACTTGCAATTGGGTAGCAACTAGGGCGTATTGAAACTAACCAAAATGGGCATTCAAGACTTGCAAGCTTTCCTCGATGGTAATTGCGTGCAAGGAAGCACTGTAATGGTGGACCTTTTGAAAACCGGGCGTCTAGTCGGACAACGGCAACGTGGCCGCGTCATCAAAGGGCAACAGCTTTCCAATACTACTAAATTAAGGCTAGTTCTTGATGGAGAATGCTGCTTAGATCGTTTGTACGGTGGATATTTCTCAGGTGAAACATCAAGCTAATAATAAAATTGACAGTAACATCATTGGCAGCGTTTAGAGAACATAATAGTAGTGATAGGTATATGAAAAACACTGAATCATGTAAAAGTACATAAACCTCAAAGTACATAGATCTAAAAAAAGTACATAGATCTAAAAAAATATAGATGTATAAAAATATATAAACAAGTGAAAAAATCCAAAAAATTATCCAAAAAATATAGATAAATAAAGAAAAATATAGACTCGTGAGAATGACAACTTTGTTCGCTGAACGCAAACAATGCATAATCGTATCTATCACATATTATAATGTACATTATGCTTATATATACAACACATGCAATTTCCCATTCAACAATAACTTGTATACAACGTGTGTTACATTGCACTTGCACATTGTTGAGTGGATAGTAATATATCATCATCGATCGCAAATAGTGCAAGATATTTTAAGATTATTTTAAATGTATTCAGAATATCCTGGATATATCTCAGGATGATTCTGAGATGTCTTGTGCTATCTGGAATGTGATGTTATCATTACATGACATTTACTGAAATTATTATGAGAGTTCGGATCTGAGCTATTTTCCTCATTCCAAGCTTTTGCCAACAGTCGAGTGCCGCGAAAAGCAGTGCTGTCTATGATTGCGTTTGTTTAGGATATTTTCCTACTGAAAGCAGCACTCTACTTTTAACATGTAACAAACAATAACAATAAAATAATGCTATCAGCACGATCAGAGCGTCAAAAACGGACGAAACTTATTAACGATACGATGAAGGTTTGTTCTTTCCCGCTGAATTAAGTTGCACTTTGTGTCTTTTAACTAAAACAGGAGTGTAACCGAACGTGGAAGGGAAAAGAAGTTTCAGCGCGAGAAAGAACAGCCTTATTTTCTTTTATTCTGCGCGACGGTACCGTTCGCAAAATCGGCGAACGACATTCCTTCTCGCAGCGCTCGGCCTTTGGCAAATGCTTGAAATGAGGAAAACGTCACTTAAATCCAGACTTTGGTTACTACTCTGTATTACTCCTGAGTTGTCAATAACTCGAAGATTTCGACGCAGATTGGGCCTGTGGCGGACAATGGAATCGCATGCTACAGTTTTTAGCTGTTCTCATACAGGCAATGGAAATGTCGAACTTAGAATTGGCCGTATTCTTTAATGGATGTTTCGAGTCACCTCGGCGAGCGGATTGGGTGCAAAATCAGTTGCAAGTACGCGCTAAAGTCAACAATGTAAGTCGTCGCGACACTGTCGCACGTCCAAGCAAAGCGACTAGGATCTTATTCTAGACATATATACGCCTTTTTAATTCTAAAGTAGCATTATACATGGCACAGAGGTATAAGAGGAATAGAAGATTGGTCCTTATTCTAAACTTTCTCTTACAAGTAAAAGTGCCTAAAAAAGTAGTTTATAAACCTTCTAATTGGTTATAAGACACTTTTGCCGAGAAAGTTGCTATATGATTTGAGTTATTTATGGTAATTGTAAGTAATCAAAAATGAAAAGCATACGTGCATTTCATTTTCGGCCAAAAATTACAAAGAAATTATAGATTTCTTCTATATGTTATTTTATATATAAAAGTTTCAAATTATATTTAAAACAATTATTTATAAAATAAGGACTTTGCAATTAAAAGAGTGTACTTAATTCATTGCTTCATTGCTTTTAGAATAGGATCGTTAGATGGAAATAAGATTCATGAACAAAAAATCGTTTCAGGTCTTGAAACATATAATAACTAAAGGCACGCCTCCGCCAAAAATTTGGTGGACTCCGCCTGTCTGCTTAAGAACCAGCTTACGCATGGCCCTCAGGCATTTAAATGTCATAGTTGTAAGTTCACGTTTCCGATAATTGTGGGAATCTATATCCGGGTTTACAATAAATGTAATAAGCCTTTAGCCTTATGCTCTAACCGCAAAACTATAGCGTGATTTTCGGTTACAAATGTTTTTAAGAGAGTTGACCAAATGTGAACTGTTTTAAAGCAGTGCGTAAAACGATTTTTGCTAGAAATTATAGACCTCGAAACATAAGGTTAAAAGCTTACTACATCTATTATAGAACTGGATTAATAAAGATCACGGTAATTTAACGGTCGCTTCAACAGCTTTGTAGCATGGACGACCATCATCAGGAGGTGATCGCCTATTGTCGTGAAAATAATTATAATGGACTGATAGCCGATGACGCTGAATATGCCGCATTCGATCCTCCGCGATATTTCTCGTCTGAACAGCTGAAGCTCACGTACAAAGTACGTTTTTCCACTAAGTTGATGTTTATGCGATTTTTTCTGTCTCAATATTTGCTAGGATAAGCATTTCTACCAGATAGCAAATGTACAGATGGTACATTTCTGGTTTTTCACTTAGTTTATCTTTACATACTGTAGTCACGTAAACTTTTATCTGACAGGTTTTTTTTGCCTACAGGGTTCTCTAGATACGAAAGAATACATACTCTCCGAACTCACAAAAGCCCTCAATATACCATCAGACAGACTTTGCATACTGGCAGCATTGCTAGGAAATTACATATTAACCGAAAATGACTTGGCTGATTTCTACAAGAAACTCAACATTAGCACTAATATCAATAAGACGAGCGTCGAACAGACGATCAAAACAATTGCGAATTTTGTCAGAGAACTACCGTCCGTGGAGTTGGATGTAGTCTCGCAAAAAGTCTTCGGTTCCACGTCCGACCCGAGATGTTCCAAGTTGCGACAGTCTATACAATATTATTTGAACGGAACGAAGGAGGGGTTTTTGCACTACAAACCTGTGAAACCAACGAAAGGTAAAAATACAATCTATCAATTTCTCTATCTTTTTCTGACTTAAGGTTTAAGTCAGAAAGAGAAATAAAGAGAAAGAAATAGTATTTTCTTATTGTTTACGTTTCTTACCTGGCCTGAGCTGGAATGGTCCCAAATTCCTCCGTTTTCTAAGCTACAGTGTGGTCAAGAATAGAAAGGATGACGTATCCGATATTCACTGAAAATTTATTGTATACGTAACGTGAACTGACAGTAAATATCGGAACGCAGCCTGTCTCATCCTTTCCACAGTGATTTTATTATTTTTTTATAGTAAAATATGCAGGTACAGCCTATAGCCTATTCTTTCCATTGTTTTATTATACTGTAGTCCTTAGTAGAATATAGTAAAAAGGATAGACGAAGACAGAACGCTATGGAATGCAATTAGAAACTTATACATTCTTTTCAGTTTGTAATTTTTTAAGATTTTGCGCTTATAAAGCTCGTCCCGTAATATCATGCGTTCTGGTTAAATTTTTCTTTATCAATACTTCAAAATTTTACATGATTGCTTGCAACATGCCAGGTGTTTTCACACTCTATCTGCCTACGTTTTGTATGTCTTGCGTCAGTCACTCTGTATATTTCAATGTTCCACAACGAATACCTTCTAACACGTCCTGACACCGGGAACTTTTCTGGTCTATAATACGAAATCGTAACATACGACGTTTCAGACATGACTTCCAGAACAAAAGTTGATTATCAATGACCCTCTACCCACTTTAAATATGCGTATTCATTTGCACTCTGCATGTGTGCGGATTTTTTCAGTTCATAAAGTAGACTCCAAACCGAGCGCACAGGTTCATTCGAATCAGACGACGGACACGCCGTCAGTCTCGGAAAGCGACTCTAATCTGGAGACGTCGCGGTTTGCATCCGAAACTCTGGAGAGTGAGCGCGAGAGTTTGAACGCGTACAAGCAGGCGACGGCCAACGCAAAGTCAGCGCCGCAAATCGTGATCGACCCACCTGGTATTCAAGGCCATGGAGACGCCGATCCTATACGCACGGAAGAAGAACAAAGTACGTATGCTGTGCACAAATCGATTGACGTGCGTGTTCTATGGCTTTCTCTTTTTTGTATCAGCACTGTATTAAACACACGAATCCCCGAACAGGCAACGGCCACGCCATTAACGGCACTCACAATCTTCTAATCAGCTCGTCGAGCTCAAGCAGTAGCTCTTCTGCCACATCGCCGTCTCACGCAACTGCCGATTCCGCCAAACATTCGGAGAAGACGAGTAGTGTCCCCACTACTGTGCCGGAAGTGATGCGCACTGCCTCGGAACGCCATCAGAAGGGACTGATGTCGCCACACATCTATCAGATCCTCATTGCTGGAGAAATCAAACTACCGGTTTTGCTGGAAGATGAGAATCACCGTGAATTTCCCTCCATTCATCTGATTTATAGACCTATTCGACAAATGGTGTATGCGATTCTGTTCAATCTTCACCATCGGATGTATCTGGCCACAAAGAGTAAAGAGAAGGGTGGTAAGTTCTGAATTGCGTAATTTGAAGATTGTACAAAGTGTGGTGCCGGATTCCTCTATTGCGCCGAATTCTAATTCTAAGAATTTGTCTGACAGATAGCGAAAAGGTTGAAGTGCCAGATGTTATAATCAAAGAATGGGTTTGGTCCAAGTCCAATCCGTATCAAACACCTGAATTAGTGAAAGCAGAGCAGATCGGTTGGGGTGTACCTACGATTCAACGTTTATGGTTTGGGTAAGCAATTTGTTTGTTCGATTAAGTTACGCAGTTTGTTGTCTCGTATGCGACAACGATGCTGCGAATTAATGTTAGAAAATTAGATGTTGAGCGAATTATCGTACGTACTATAAGCTAACACAACTTCCTGTTCTTTAGCACAGTTATTGACGACAAACGGCGGAGGCTCAGAGGATTTCTAACATGCATGAGATCAGATACACCTCTCATGTTAAATACCTCATATGTTCCGCAACATCTGTTGGTTATGGCATGTGTTTTAAGGTGAATATCGACTTGAATCATTCATGGCTCGAAGCCTTTTCAGTTCTCGTGTACAAAAAACTCTTTAGATAAGTTTTTTGTACGATCGTTTCTCATCTTTCTGAGAAACTTTCGTGTGCAGTCGTATCCGAACGGAAACCATAGAAGGAGGAGGGCATACTAGGTGGCGGCGGGACGCCGTACGTTCGAGATCTGCGTATCTTTTTCGTTCCAGAAAGAGAAAAATATCGAGAGCGCGGTCTTGCTAGGCCGGGGACTCGAACCCGGATCTTTCGCTTGCCGGGCGACTGCTCTAAACCACTGAGTTACCTGACGCTCCACCCTCACGACACTCTCCTCTTCCTAACGCTCAGAGATGCCGTTCGGAAGCGACGCGAAAACTAATTAACTTACCTCAATTAACGCGATCGATGAATTGTCTTTCGCAGATACATCATGTCTTTTTCTGATAAAATAAAAATCTTACGACGCCAAGAACTGGACGCCTTTATCGCGCAGGCCTTCTCGCCAGAACTTATGAACGCTCAGTACTTACAGGATTTACAGGTAAAATATATTGTTTTTATATAAATAGACATTAAAACTAATCAAGGAGATTATTTAGTGATTTCTTCCTAATAATATTAATTAGGAAATTAGATTAATATAATTACATTAAACTTCATTTTTTAATTAATTTTTTTTTCTTTTCAGAGAAATTTAGTAATTTCTAATAAATCATGAAACTTGATTCTCTTGAGAAAAATATAGTGATATAATATGTATTACACGCGAATATTTCGATTCTCCAAGTGTATTGACATTCAACACGTTATCCGTAGCTTCCACTGGTTACTTCACGTGGTGTGCAATTGGCCACGTTATTTATGGCTGGTGTAGAAACCGCGTTGTTGGCGAACGACGCTTGCGGCGCACCGATTCCCTGGTTAATGTGCTGTCCTTGGCTCTACTTCGACGGAAAGCTGTTTCATCACACCCTGGCTCGTGCTACCATTGCCAAAAATTTACTGGAACTCTGTAGCGGACACATAGATCGTGTGGTGAAGGTCGAGAGAATGCGAAAAGCGATACTAGAAGGAGTTACCGTTATGTTCGCACGCCCACCTTTACCAGTCGCTCCAGGTGCATTAACTTATTCCCTTCGCTTAATATCACAACGATATCGAATATCTGTCGCGAACAAATGAAAGAGTATTAGTGTTCGAAGATGCGGGTAGTTCGATTAACAGCAATCGGAAAACCCCGACTTCGATTGCTGACTCTTCATTGCTGACGCCCAATACACGGTTTAACAATTCTTCCAATCTCCTTGCACCCTATACGATCTCGTGCGATAGGATGCTTCGAATGGAAGTAAAGTAAGAGTCAGCTATATTGCTTTGCGGAGTTCAGTGTATGACTTTGCGAATCTCAAGGCTGTGACAGTGTTCCTGACAATTAAAAGCGAGTTAAACTTTCTACAGTAGACAATTTTGTTGCCGTAAAATCAGCTGTTGCGCCTACGCAACGCTAAGTTGGTAAAAAATATGATATTTATATCTCACATGGAAACGCATTCATGGTTATTATCGCGTTATTATATGATTAATATATTGATAACATTTAATTTCTGTAGTATCTTTGTAGTGTGTGTTGTAAATGTATATCATTTTTAATCGTTAAAACAAAATATCTGCCTATAACGATTTTGTTTCTCATCGTCACAGGTATCCGTGTATCTGTTCCTTCAAATATTCTGCCCGCCGGCTGTCCCATCAACGACGGGCTGATGCGTGGTCGCGGTGGCGGCGCGATGCCACAACGTGGTTTAATGCGACGTCCGATTCCGTCTCGCGGTGGTCAATTGGAGATCGCCGGTGTCGTCGTGGGCCAGTGGGGTCCGAATTATGGACAGCCCGGCCGCTTGCCACAACCCCTACAAGGACATCCCCGTGGACGTATTCCACCCCAGGTAGGATATAATTTCGAAAGCGTTTTCAATCGCAATTGTTCGGCGATTCGCTATCGTTGCGAAGGGATATACGATGACGATGACGATGACGATGACACCTCGATATTAGTAGAGACGTATTTCGTCGAATAGCCCGATCTCTGTTGGATCTAGGAGAAACGTTACATCACGCGAACCTGACTCTGGTGTTATATCAGTGGGTGCGTTCAGCGAACTCAACAGTTGCACAACAGTTGAGCAATTCGTCAATGTAATTGGTCTAAAGTTAGAGATCTAACAGTAAGAACCAATAATCACTGACCGTTCACTGATCAGCTGTGTTTTCTGAACGCAGCCAGTCTTTCGCGACTTTGCACGTAGACGTACTATCAGTGGACGTTGAAATTATGCTGTATGCTGAAGTTTATATGTTAAGCATCAAGCATATCAAATTCATTTTACTCGAGTTAGCAACAATTATTACAACTATGTAATACGACATGAGTTTTATGCGCTATATACTCCGTTGCGCCGTTAAAACTTCTTTTCTACGGTGTAAAAGCTCTTTTGGCTCCTTTTTTATTTACCTTTTATGACTGCAATTTTGTATCATCGTATTTGCATGTTCTTATATGTAGTATAAACACTGTTAAAATAAAGACTACTATATATTTTAATTCCTAGTATTTTAACTGTTGTTCCTTATTTTAAGTTCTATTCCGTTTGCGTGTTTAAGTAACAGCCAAATAGCACTTAACTAGCTGAATAATGCATTATCAAGTAATGAAACAATTATATGAATAATGTAATTACAACTCGCATACGCGCGAGTAAATCAGACTAATCGTACATTAAATTCATTATCTATATACATTTATTTCAACTTAAAAAATTCAGTGATATATGAAGATTGTACTTTTCTCATTTATCTACTAGTCAATTTTTAATTTAACGGTGTATTTTTTAATTCATCAAGCTGAAAAAATGTAATAATTCGTTAATTTTGTTATAATTATAGTTAGTATCAGAATCAAAAGCGAAACTTGTAAAACACCTTGTCTCCTATATCTCCAACCTCATTTTACAATTAGCAATAGAGAGATATCTCTCTACTCTATCGAGTAGAAGATCTTGACAAAGAGGTAAGTATAGCTTGCAAAAGAGACCTCTAATAGTCTATAATGCAATGAATATATCTCAATTAATAATGGTTCTCTCACGTTACATATAGTGAAAAACAGTATACTCGTGTCGACGACGCTTTCCGTCGTGAATTTGTAACATTTAAATCAATTTTTTATTGTATATATAATATTATATAATATATATAAAATTACAATAAAACTTTGTGTTCATTAAGTCACGTTTCTTGCAAACAGATCAACGCTATTGTGCAACAAATCGCAGAGATTTATGCAGTACACTACGGTATCCTATTAACTCTGCATGTGTCACTATTTCGGTAATTTTGTTATAGGTAACTTCAATCGGTGGGCTTAAGTACAGTCTTCCTCGTGGCTTCAATCCGATGGGTCGACCGACGTTTCACACACGCGGAAACAACCGCGCTCCAATCGCCGGACGCGGCAAAAAGACGCAGTTGAAGGTAAATCTGTCACTTCCTCGGCTCTTGCCTTCGATTCGGAGAAAAAAAGCGTTATAAACAGCCGACTGTTTTTCCAGGCGACCGGCAAGAAGAAAACCACTATCAAGAAAACTAAAGAAATTGAAAAAAAAGACAACAGCAGAGGCCGCGGTATCAATGTCGACGGAATTACCGATTATAAGTAAGCGTCTCGAATCTCCATCCGATTCTAATATACTTGCAATTATTACATTCGATCTATCCTTTGCGCTTCAAGGGTGTTCACGTGCACTCTTGGTGCTCAAAGGGTTGATACAGCAACGTATATAACGCCCATTGTCGTACTGTTCTTAGCGAGACAGTTTCGAATGTGAACTCGACGAAGGAGGTGCTGCCGGTGCCAGGTCAATTTGACGACGCGACGGAAAACGGCAAGAGCGTGGAGAAAGGTCAGGGCGATGCGCCGCTCGCCACTCCAGTCGCCACAGAAAATTAAGTATCTATAAAAACGGAGAAATTCTCCGTCGACTAATCACTCCCGGATGTGACTCAAGACTGCAAAACAAATCTACTTATATGTTCTGAGCGATTGTGCACTGGTAACATTCGAGAATATACGTCGTTAGGATGATTGTTACGTCGAATGAGAAAATTTAGTAATGTTGCTAAAGTTTACTTTTCGGATAAAGTTTTACTGTACGTTGCGGTTCTTCGGACAATATCTTCTAATTCGAGAGATTTTGACAAATCTGGAGTAGGCAATAGTACAATGACTTGCGAGTATCTTTTTTTTCTTTTTTGTCAAAATTGAACGTAAAAGAAAAATTGAAAAAAAGATGCTGTAAGAATATATATTATTTTGTACAGCATATACAGGGTCAGTCACCTAAATTCTAGTCGTTAGATTCTAAAGTATCTCTGTTGCTTTTTTTTATATTAGAGGAAGATGTTTAGGCCGTAGAGAATAAATTGTATAATTGGAAAGGATAAATATTGTGATTAGCCAAACTTTTTTTCCAAGTGTACACAATTTATTTCTTACACATTTTCTTATGATAGAAAAATCAACAGGGATATTTCCAATGTTAGAGATAGAATCCAACATTAGATGACTCTCCTTGCATATTGTATATAAAATAGCATATATACATGTATGTATATAAAATATACATATATGTATTCAACGTATCGCAATTATCTTTTGAATTGAGCTTACATTATTTTGTGGAAGCTGTACGTTACAACTAAATGTTACGTGCGCAATAACTCGATATGTCTAAAGCTCTGATGGGGCCAAAATGTTGAACTAATAATAGGAGACAGGAAATCTTTATTCACGGTGTCCATGCCACGAGGTTATTTTAATGCGTGGCATGTGGTACAAAGATTTTACCCGTTCTTGACATGTCCTCACTGCCAAAACGTACCACTCTGTATAAGATAGGAAAGACAGACAAAGAAATAAATCGTGCTTGTGCTAACGAGCTAATTTCGCTCGCATTACCATGGAATGGAACTCGACTGATTAGTGTATGCGTGCGCTAATTTTACTACTCAGAACAAGTCGTCAGCTGCTATAAGTATTTAATTCTTAAGAAGTGTGATTATTTTTTTTACACGAAAATATATATTTTCCGGTATTATATGAAATGCTCGCTGCGACAGTCTCAGTGCTCCGGTCTGAACGTGAAGAAAGTAGCTTGATACACGCTAAAACACGTACATACACATACACAAACTGATTCACTCATTCACACACACAGACACATTCATACGCGCACACAAACTGTAATAGGATAGCACTTACTGATTTTTGTAGATAAGGAAGAACTCAGATGGAGCACTGAGACATTCATCAGCACATGGAGACTGATGCTCTCTTTTTTCATATAGGTAAAATATATATTTATATATACATATGATTTAGATATTAGAGTTCCCATATAGTATATTATACGTAAGTTGTGCCTGTGTATTGTGCGTGAGTGAGTACTTATGGGTACGCCAGAGAATTTGTGAATATTGTAGCGTGTGTTACATCGAGCGAGAGAGACGGTGAGAAAGTGATGTATATAAAGTACGGGATGTTATGTCGTTGCCGACGCTTGTACATACGGGGTACTGCGGGCAACGTATGCATTCGTCGTGTGTACATGCGTGCACGCAATCTAGGTCATATATTTATTTGCTGTTGTGTTGAAGAGAGAGCCGTGAGTGAATGAACTTGAATTAAATTTGAAGTTTTTAGGTACGATAACGTTTCTAACAACTACAGACTTGAGGCTTATCGCGAGGGTGCCCGTGCGGGCGTATATAAGGATGATGATTGTTGATGCCACTCTCATGATACGCCTCATAATTGTTTAGCAAATATGCTACATCACGGCACACGTGAAAACATTCGTCCAGAACCGACGAATCGTACGTTTTATGTTGAAATGTGTTCGTCCAGTTTCCATAGTTTGCCGTTTGTCTCACGTACACGTATGCTTGTTCGTGCTTATATTTCGAGATGGATATATCGATGATACATTGACTTACGTGAGAGAATTAAAGTGTTAGATGAAAAAATTGTTTTAAAGAGAAATTCAATTATATATCAGATTGGTTGCTCCAAAGAGAAGACGCGTGTTCTGTATGTGTGTGCACGAATGCACGTGCGCGCGCCTTTTGTAGCATATTTCGAAATATAATCCCTTTAATTGTACATATAAACAGTTACTTTAGAGAAGTGATAGTGTGATGGCTATATGGTGTACATACAGAATCCAGATGCGCGTGTTAATCGCGCACCGGGACTAGGAAATGATTATGTTAAATATCTACTATTTATGAGTAGAATAGTCTAAAAGACTTTCTACCAAAGATCATCGGAGTTTAAGAGCAAGTTCTTTTATCGATAGAAGTTCCAGTGAACACCAACTAACGATAACGTTATATCATTATTATGTAATTTCTCAATCAATAGTGTAAATGCGATATAACGTGCGCTGTATTTATAACAATTACATCGCTGAATGGGAAATTACAACATTGAGGTAACGTTACTATCAGTTAGTGTTTGTAACTGGAACGATATATAAAACAGCGAAATGGAAAGAGCAAGACAGCACGACAGAACACGATTATTAAAGTAAGTAACGAGGGTGAGGATGCAAAGACATGTGTGCGTCTAAGTGCACGGAGGTACTTTAAAACGAGTAAAAGAAGAAAAACCATTTATCGAGAATAGTATAAAAGAGAGATGATAAGATAAAATGTTATATTTTTGTAGATTTGTTATTGCGTAAAATGCATTAGGACAATGAGAAACTTTATATAATTTGAGTAAAATGACAGTTAACGAGCCTGTGAGGGTTAAACGGATGAGATCCTGTGAGAGGATAAATGGGAAGGAAAAATGACAGAGAAGGCAAGAAAGAGAAAGAAAAGAAGAAAAAGAAAAGGCAACGGAAAGAAGAAAGTGCTTTGGGAACGGGGATGTTATAAAGAAATGACATCCGCGGGGAAATTTTGCTGAAAAAAATGAAAGAAAAAGAAAAAAACGAATCCCACGTTCTCCTACGTTTCCGAAGCTCTCAGTTTCCTGAGTTGCTTGTAGGAACAGGATTATAAAAGGACATACACATACATCACATACACACATATACACATCATATATATAAATATATATACATGTATACATATACGAATAACTGAAATGAATCGTAACTATGTAAAGTCAGCTTCAACGTGCGCCGAGCATATGTGGAAATGATTTGACTCGTCACGTTTTATGCGATACGTGCGCGGACATTTATTTCGAGTTTGCATCAGCCACGTCTCACATATGCAATATTATTTGGATGTGTATCGTTCAATATCATTCGAGTCTCATCACTTAACGATTAGCGTGCGTTACCTCGCAAGTACGTTACAAATATGGTCGGTACGGAAGTATTTCTTTACGCAATGAGGCAAATGAAAGAACTTAAATTTCGAAAATCGACAAGTCAACTGTGCTCTGAACGCGACATCCACACACACACGCACACATATATGTAAACATACACATATACATACAGCACTAGAAGCCGACTTTCTGAATCTGACGAATACTAATGATGAATTTGAGAGTAAAATGCCACTTTACGCTTTTACGTAAAGATAGATGATTTTCTTTCTGAGAAATCGAACTCTTGATATATACCGGATACAAAATGTAAGGACACAAATATACGATGTTATGCAACGCGATCAGTCGCTACTGCGCTGATGTGAGTAATGAAATAACGTGAAATAATTTATTGTAAACGCGCGAAGCGTATAATGCCAAAAGGTATAAAAAAGGGAAATCACACATTGAATACAGCAGATGCAGAAACGTTGAAAATAAATATAATATTGAAACTCGCATAAAAAACACGAATGACGTGAAAAAAAGAAACAGGCGCGTACGACATGCGTGCCTGCTTTTCGTTGTAATAAGTAGAGAGAGAGAGAGAAAGAGAGAGAGAGAGAGAGAGAGAGAGAGAGAGAGAGAGAAATGGGGAGAAAGAAAGAGAGTGAGAGAGAGAACGAGATAGAAAGAAAGAGGGGCCCACGAAACTCGTCTATGATACCGACATACCATTAAAAAGACACGAGTAATCTATTGTATTTATAAAGTAACGATCTATAATGACATTTGAAGCATTGTGTGTTGTGATAACGGAAAAAAAAATTAATTATACACCGAGTAATAATACTAACTCTCGATAATCTTTGTGCCGGAGCGGCAGGCGCTTTAACGAGGAAATGATTATTAAAATGAGTCGCGCGAAAAAGGGATCGGGTGTCCTCGCGATATCTGATCCGCGCCTCTCTCTCGCGTTGCGCGAGTAGAAGTTGTTCGTAATTAACGCGCTCGACTTTTCCGAATGGCTGTTCTCATTTTATTTCGATCACCGATGCTCCTTCAGCACAGAATATTATGATGCAGCCATCTCAGCTAGACTCTCTAATTAACGCCTTAAACGTAATTCGTATAATGTAGTTTGTATCCTTTCATTTCGAGAGACGAGAGAGATTTTTTCGCTATACGTTATCCGCTCTCATCTCTTTTTCGTTTTCGTGCCGCGTAGAGAGCCACTTAGGTCGTCTTGCAAAAATCGAGAAAAGAACAAAAAAAAGAAAGAAGAGAACAAAGAGACGAGATCATTTAATTTCAATAACTTGTTTTAAATGATTCCTCCCCCCCAAAAAAAAGGAATATGTATATTACGTTTCACGTATGTTTTAGATATGCACGATGCCTGGACATCGTGCATTTCGTGTTTCTCTTATTATTTTTAACTTGCTGTAGCCTTGTACGAGATATAGAGTTGCGAATTTTCATAGTGATCCGGACATAAGAGTAATAATAACGATAAATAACCAACCTGAGTTGCTATATGTACGCTCGACGTTTTAAATTTTAAGTTTTTCCTTACCGTAGTTTTGCTTAATATACGTAAAGTACGAGAATATACTAAAAAAATAAAAAATAAAAAAATACGATAGCGAACGCAAATATAATCTAATAAAGTAAAAAGAACAAAAAAAAAAAATGATTAAACACTTATCGATGTAGCTGAAAATGAAAACGCATGTGGGCCCCGCGCGAAGACACACCTTATATATTATTAAATATTACATAAATATAACGTATATTCTGCTATTATTTTTCATAGCTGAGAGAAGGAAAAAAAATGATACACGCATACGCGCGGTAATAAATGTATGTTTGATAATCATTATAGTATGTTTATTTTTCGTGTTTTTATTTTCTCTTTCCTATACATTAAAGAATAAAAAGAAATAAAGGGAGCTAATATAATGATCGCGAAAGCGCATAAAATGATGCATAGAAAGAGAGAGAGAGAGAAAAGCGCTACACCACTTTGTGTATTTGCGAGATAAAGGGAATGCCCTTCGAAAACTTTGTATCTGAAATAATTGTACTATCCGGAATATCACACTCGCAGTTTCCGGCTTACGAAGGGAAAGGAAAGACGGGGATAAAGGGGGAGAGAGAGAGAGAGAGAGAGAGAGAGAGAGAGAGAGAGAGAGAGCAAAGGGGAGACGAAACGTTTGTTAATCCGACTAAAAAATTGTACATGCGCTAAGCTATTATTGATAATCATATAATTTGACCTCGATGGGTTGGCCTGTGGTCAGTAATACGTTGTAATACCGCGGTGCGCAAACCGTTTCGAATCACTTTTCCAGATAGATTTCAGAGCAACTCACTGTTCACTGTATTATCGGACGACTGTAAAAAGAAAAAAAAAAAAGCCGAAACAGATCGTTTGTCGTAACGAGCAAAGAGAGAAAAGAGAGCAAGAAAAGTCCCGTCGCTCTCCGCGAGCGATTTCTCTCGGGACGGCGGAAAACGTGCGCGCCGGGAAGGATTACACCTATTATTATGTAACTTATATATACACTGATCGTAAATAGTAATGAGCCGGCAATCACAGCCGGCGTATCTCGGAGTAGAATTCGTAGACGAGATCGTCAAATCGTTCACACGCAGCCGACCCATTCCCGGTCCTCGCATTTATATAAACGCAGTCACACACACATTGATGTATTCTTGTTGGATTATTATACCATTGTAACACTTACTGTTGTAACATGTACCCCCCCATTCATGTCTAGTGTCGAGCAGAGCTGATTCTATGCTTTCGCTAGTTCGAGAAAAGAGACGCCGAAAGATCGTGTGCAAAAAATAATAAAACGAAATCTCTGAGTAATCATTATTCACAACTTCCGTGATTCCGGGGTTATTACATGATTTAACGAGGGAGTCGAAGAGAAAGATAGGGAAGGGAGAGAGGAGAGGGAAGGAGGGACAGAATGAGAGAATCAGTCTGGCGAGAACACGAGGCAACCGAGAATAAGCAAAAAGTAAAAAAAAAAGACTATTGTAACTCTAAAGTCACATTTAAACTACTTTTAAAAGCGGATACATATTTGGAGAGTAGCAGGTATAATAATTAATATAAATGTAGTGGCAATTCTCTCTATGAAATATACTACCACAGAGAAAAAAAACCGATAATATACGATGATGATTATTCGAAGTGTAAAACTGCGAAATGCACTCTTTAATGGATGTTGTAACGATTTAGAGATACTTAAATTGCATTGATATATTTCGCTGTAAATCTGCCTGTTGGAACGCGAATGTTCTGCCGCTTATTTTACGCGCTCTCTTTCGCGCGATGCGCGCGAAATGTCGCGATCGCAGAAGTTCTACTTTCGCGAGCAGAGCGGAGCGGTCCGATCGGCAGATCAGTTTTAAGTTTCTTCCTTTTTCTCAAGAGCGTAAATATTTAATCCTTCATTTATCTTCTATAACGCAACCTCTCACAACACACATACACACGCAGAATTTAGAGTATTTAAGATTCGTAGATCCTACGTTTTGAGTTTATAAAGAGAAGAAAAAAAGAATAAGGAGAGAAGCCTTGCGCGCGACATAATACATATATTATACATGTATATGGCTTTTTTTGTGAAAAGGCTACGAAACCAATTCGATCGAGTTTTGTAAAAGGAAGTTCTTAGCATCAAGGAAGGATGAGAGAGGGAGGGTTCTCGGATATATGGTTGGCTGACGTTTTCGGAAGTTTAATGATTTATCGAAACGTGTTGTCATGTCTTGAATACAATTAAAAAAAATATGAAAAATTGCAGTGGAGCAATTACTTTACTGATCCTCCCGACAAGCGTCCTCCTGTTGTGTGCGTATATTTTTATGCTCGTTTGATTTTACGGTAATAATATTCTCGTCTCATATTTGCTTCGCGATGCTCCATAAACGAAAGAGATAACACGCGCGTTCGGGGAACACAGGGAAGCTCAAAAATTGTCCCTTTCGATTTCATACGAGACGAGAACTTACGAGTGTCTTTTGAGTAACTTTATTTAACTTTATCTTACTCATGATATCTCATACTTCGATATCACACACATAACTAACATGATATATAAAAGATACGAAAGAAATTAAATACATATCGGTTGTATGTAAAATTTATTGGTTACTTATATAATTTTAAAAACTTAACTTCAAACATTTACATCGCGACATGTCCTCAAGGGCATTTTTAACTAATGACAATTCATCGCCGTAATAATTTTCTTAAAAAAAAAAAAACGCACGATGGCAGTTAGTTCCAGGGAAATACATTACTATCGTTTACGTGAAAGTCAGCATTGAAGATTTAGTAAATAGAAAGATTTAGTGAATAGTAAATCTAACGTTTTAATTATTACGTATCATCGGATAGATATCAAGCTGTTTCTTGAAGTCTTCTATGTCAATGATGTTTCGCACTTTCTTGTCCAATTGCTCATCAATCACATATTTTAAGCAGTAAGTCTTGTCCTTTTTGCAAACCTCCGTCATATCTGCAAAGTATAAAAATTCTTTAAATCTTGGTTACGAAACGTGGGAACAAAATTACTACGTGATGTCGTGTATGAGTACAAATATAAAAATAAATATGAAACTGAACGAACATTTTTGTATCTCTTCTGGCTCACTTCGCTCACAATGTGACGCCAACAATATTATAATTAAGTAGTACTATCAACGCCACATCGTCATTGAAGAATTAAAACTCACTGAAGGTTTCTTTAAGCTTGATATCCCTTGAAACGTCGCCATCTGTCTTGGCTTCCGCGATCGTCGCTCCATTGTTACCAATGACTTGCAAGCTCAACTTTCGGAAGTATTCCCCGTTCATCATATACTTCGCGTACCATTTTTTCAAATCGTCGAGTGTTATGGCACGCAACGCGACCACTTCCCTCTGGAGCCTGTCGAACATGTAATTCTCCATCTCGATTTCGGTCCAATTCCTATCGAACTCCTGCTTCAGATAAATATCGGCGCACATCTTCTTCTTCTTTAATGTTTCCTTAAAGCTGTTCAACTCGTCATCCGTGATGTTCTCCAGTGTCGTGGCGAACGACTTCATGAACTCCTCGATCCGCTCGTCCACGTGCTCCGTCGTGTATTTGTCCGCCTGTGTGAAAACTGTGATGCAAACTCCCAAGACTCCGTAACTATTTTTATGATCGCAGCGTACTTCGTATCCTAGCTGTTCTTTGGTTCTAAGCTGATTGAACATTGGTTCCTCCAACATCAACTGAAACGAGTGAAATAAGACACAGTCGTCGCGTGATCGTGATTGATCCTTATCATCACCCTGCCGGATACTCACCAACATCAGATGGATCATCGCTCTCATTTGGTCCGAATCGACTCCCAGCTGATAATAATTCAGTACTACGGAGTTCACGTCGGTTGGATTCAGATTGCGCACTTTGCAACAGTATATGCCCAACGGTAATTGCGTAATTTTCGCCATCGGCCTCGTGTTCGCTTGCAACGGCTCGCACTGCAATATCCCGATGCACTGTCGTACCTTCTCAACAACGTCCTCCCGCATCATGTTGCCTTGCACCAGGCACTGAACGTAAAGACGACTCAGATAGAATTTGACGAACTCCAGAAGCTCGTCGAAACCGATGTCCTGTATGACTGCGTGTTTCTCGACTTCAGTTCGAAATACCTGTGTCACTATTCCTAATCTCATTTCACTGCGAAGAGGTATGAGGCCTTTCGTTATTTGCGCGATCAGTGACGGACACAATTAAACGTGTGACTCGTTAAAACTTAACTTCAACGTTGCGCGATTATTTCGAGAATGTCGTAGTTGTATTAATAAATACTGTATTAACGAATACTGAGACAATACCTGACGATGTTGCCAGGTTTAAGGAACGAATTGAAGTACTGCTTGGTCAGATGTGTCTTCATAACTTCAACAAAGTCCTTCGTAACGAGATTCGGGAAGTCCACTATGTGTTTCGCAACGGTCATTAATAAGAGCTGCGATGCAAGAAGAGCGTCGGTATACCATGAGGTTGCAGAATTGTAATCTCAAGACTATGAACGTACTTACTGGCAATTTCTCGTTGAAACCATTCACGAGCAATGCGATACCATTCATGAGAACTACAATGTCATAATTATATCCTACCGCTGCAGCAGGATACAGTTCCTCACTCAACAAGTGATTCAATATCACGACGTACAGATCCAGGAGGACCGCGCTAAAACGTCACCGAGGGTTTTGGATATAATGATATAAAAACAGGACAAACATAAAGAGCAGAAGTTTAAATAAGAGTAACGTTAAGATTATTAGCTATTATTAATTAGTTATATTGACCTTTATTAGTTAACAAGTTAGTTAACTAATTACTTACTTTTTTGTCGACTTACATGGCATATCGGAAATGAGATAAAAAGCCATGTGACAGTCCGGTAACCGGAATTTGGGATCCTCTCGATACCAAATCTCTAAATTCTCGTCGTGATATACTTTCTCAGGGTAGGAAGGTATGTTCGACGATAACGGTATCATGGAGAAGTCATTGACGAGGAACATATTCGGTAGTGGCAAGTGAAAACTCGGGAACGGCTCGATGCCTTTCCAACGCTCGATCCACTCCGGCGGTATCTCGCTGTCCATGTACTTCGTCTCGAACCAGGGCTCAAACTTGTCAAACTGTTGCTCGTCAAACTTCTTGCTGTAGACCGTGATGTTCACATTGTCCGGCACCAGACAATCTAAGCACATTTGTATCACGTCCGCGTTATATTCGAAGAAGAGGCAGTTGCCTGTTATATATTCGCGTGGCGGGTAAATAAACATGTTGTCAGACATGTCTTCCACGTAATCCTCGGCGTCTTCTTCCTCTAAAAACCTGGAGAAGTTCTTTAAAATTAGGTTTAAGCCGGGAGAGCGTTTACCGTCGATTCCCGGCTTATTTTTCTTTTACTTCTAAAATCAACGTATCAACTCCTCGCGCTCGTTTACGCCCGAAATATCACTACCTGAAATTGGTCCGATCGATTTGTTGAATTTCGTCGTAGTATCTCTTCTGCGGGCCCTCCCTTTTAAGCAGATTAATGTAAGAGAACACCGCATCTAACACTTCTTCCAAGTGCTTGTACCCCTCATCGGTGAGCAACAGACTCAAACAGTACATGTTATATATGGAGGTGTCGCATTCGTTCGCATTGTCGCAATTGATTTCGATACACCACAGTTTCTTGCGCAGGTAACTGATTAAGGAACCTGGACTACTGTTGGCGATAATTGAAATCAGATATTCGTCGGGTTTAATCCTATAGAATTCCAACATTGAAGGCATCACCCATGTTAATTCGACCTGCAAAACCTTTCATTTAGGATTTTTCTCACACAAGCTCCTACAATACGAAAAATTCTGATGTGCCTTTCTAATTCATTCCTGTAATTCATCAAATTCTGCATACCGCGCATAAGTCTTTGATAGGTCTGACTTTGTACATTTTTCGGAAAGCCGGAGTATCGAACGATTTGACGCCTTTGAATTCAGTAAAATCATCAGGCAGCTGTCCGTTATTCGGTATATCAGAAAAGCACTTGGTCACGTACTCTTCCAATGTGTCCAGTGGAAACTTTGCCTGTAAAACAAAATATAAATTAGTAATAAATAAATAGTAGATTAGTAGCAAATGTATATAGATAACTTGTGAAAAACAAACAAAAAGTTTACTACACATTAGAATGAATCTGGCTTTCTCACCTGTATAGCTAATCTCATTCTGTGGGCGCTGTAATGGCGTTCTCGAAACCTGTGCAACTCGTCGTACAATTTGTCCTCGCTCACATTGTCGCGCAACGTCGTCATATTACCCCAACTGAACTTCCTGGCTGGATGACCGTCGCAAGCGAAGCTGTTCAGTAGCTGCATCTTTTTGTTCCTGTCGACGGGAAGGTCCATCTGAAACTCTATGCGAGTTCGTGGCATAATGATGTATCAGAAAAAGAAAGTAACGACAGTGTTACGATCGTATTAATATACGCACCACTTTCCACAGCTTTTCGTTCGCGCGTAATCGCGTCTCTCTTCATCAGGGGCTTGATAAAGAACTGTGCGAAACGATCAACGGCCGACAGTAAGTGTTTCCGTTGTATGGAGAAATGAAACGTTGTCCGCTCAAATCCCGTTACAGCGTTACTATATCCGCCGTATTTGCTAACGAAGGCGTCAAAATCGTTTTCCTACAAAGATAAGTGGAAATTGCTATGTTTGCGACCAACAATATGCAGAATTCTAAATGACGTTTACAGTTGCAAGATTAATTTTAAAACACTGTAGCTTTTCGTCAGTAAAACCTTTAAGGTTCAATACCTTTGGATACTTTTCTGATCCCATAAAAATCATATGCTCGAGAAAGTGCGCCAAGCCTTGAATCTCAGTAGGATCACTGAAAGACCCTACTCCCACAGTCATTGCACATGCTGCCTATTTGGAAGATGTACATGTGTAGAATAATGTATTACACAAGATAGTGAATATATATATATATATATATATATATATATATATATATATATATATAAACAATATTAAGAGATTTTACATAAATATGCATAATAAAAGTTTGCATATAAAAGTGAGAAGCATGAAAGCTTCTCACATTTTGAACTACATATCTATGCTAATATCACAGTCCTTTGCTTACAAACTGCATCTTTTTATAAGTTTTTATTTGACAATATTAACAAGTTATATTGTTATTGCTGATAGATAAGAGTACAATGAATCATATTAAGAGAAATAAATCATGTTAAGAAAGAGATTAGCACGAGGTATATCATGTATCAAATCTTTTTTGTCAATACCATCTTTACTTGTCTTGTCATCCCATCAGTTGGTGTATAGTCATCTTCATCTTCATCCTCTTCATCAAATGCACCTTCATCTTCATCATCTTCATCCTCATCTTCTTCACCACTTTCGTAATCGTCAGACATATCTTCACTACTTGCTATATCTAATAATAAAGTACAAGTATTTTACATTATATATATTAGTTACAATTATAGATATACAATTATATATGGTAAACCTTTACAATAATGGACTCAGCACTTATGATCTTGATCTTCATATATATGATAGAGGTCACCCTTCTGAGTAACCTTCAGAAGGTTTCAGAAGGAGGCCCAGTCTTTTGTGAAAAATTTTCACTCTTTAGAAAATACATCTTCTTTCATAACATTTCTAAGATATATATTTCATATGTACAGTGTACATACTACGCCATACTTACGAAATTTCTTTTATTTATAATTTTAAGCTTAAGTACAACAGACTTGCCCCCCAGTCACATAGCTAGAGACAGGTATCTTTTTTATTATCTCGTTTCTGAGAAAAAAGTCTAAGTCATTGAAGCCCAATAATTATTATAAACACTGAAGGCAATGAGTAGTGTAAGCATATTTAGAAGAAATATTGAAATATAAACACAAAGTAGTATCGATATAAAGCAAAGGCTACAAGACAATATTGACTTCTCGTGCTTCCAGTCCGAAAGAAAGTCTACAATTATTTCGTTCCACACATATGTTCTCGACTTTTTATGCAAAATCACAGTGACTACTGAAATATGTAACACATATATGTTGTACTTTACCTCGTTAACAGTACATAGTATCAAAAAATTATATTTTTCAAATTTCTCTCATTAATAACTTTCATTAACTTTTTAACAGACAATGAGCAACAGCTGAAACCTTCTGAAGGTTACTCAGAAAGGTACCTTCTATCATATATATGAAGATCAAGGTCATAGGTGCTGGGTTCATTATTGTAAGGCTTATCTTATATATATCTAAATCATATCTTTAACATGCTTACCTTCTTCATCACCACTATCTTCATTTTTATTTGATCCATCATACATATCAGATATCAGCAAAGCTATCAAACCATTTTCTAGTTTGATGACCCTAAATTTAATATCAAATAATATCAGAATGAAGATCCATTCAAAATGTATTAAGCATTAATATTCTATTCTAACTCATCACAAAATTATACTATATCATAGGCTGTGTTAAATAGAGAAAGCTGCTTTATAAGTGTGATAAAGTTGTTAAATCTGATTAGTATATCCTAAAATATTAAAACATTTGCAGTTTCAAAGTACAAGTCATAGGTAATTATAGCTAATTATAGATGTATAAAATACAAGTTCTTACAGTGATCTTAAACTGTTTTTTAACTCACAAATTCATTCACGTAATTCAAGAAGATGACATAATGTTCGAATCGTAGTTTATCACATATGAAACTATACATATGAAGATAAAAAAATTATGATATAAAAGATATATATCATGTATCAATGCTTAACCTGTACTCTTTTTTGTCCGCCTCAGACTTAACAGGAGTTTCCAAATACTCGACTCGACGATTCTCGCCGGCTGTTTTTCCCATTGCGCCTCCGTGAGCCTCGTGTTCTTCCGGTTGGCGATTAGGGTTAAATGCCGATCGATTGGCTGGATGCGATTTATTTGGCAAATTCGTGGCCGCAGAATGTTGATTTGTCTCCCGTTCTTTCTCGGGCGTGTCGTGTGCAGATCTTTTCACCATTTTACTCAGCAGAAACACACTTTTGCTCGTATTTCTTGACAAGACCAAACGTTGGAGAAAAAACGAGAGACTACATGTCATGCGTGTCAGACGTGATGTAAAAGCATTCTGGACGCTGGAGTGGCCCGGTGCAGTGGAGCGTCCTAAAGGCCACCTACAATTGCATAAGCGAATCGTTAACATAAAGGCCATTCTACAATTGCGTAAGTGTAGTTGAAAATGGTGTAGATGATTATGACAACCAATTAAAATAAAACAATCAGTAAATAAAACACTCTAATTGGTTGATTCTTACGTTCACGACCACGCTTATGCAATTATAGAATAAAGTGAAGGTGCAAACCCATGCGGCGGAATAGCGGAGCGCGAAACGAGAGCGGAACCAACATGAGCGTTCCACAGTTTTCGCTCGTGATTGCTTCCACTCGTGATTGGTTCCGCTCTCGTTCCGCGCTCCGCTATTCCGCTGCATGAATTTGCACCTTCAGAAAGAAACCTGAGAGCGGCCACCAGCCTGATTTCAGTGGCCAGAATTTATTAAACATACTCAATAATATTAATTAATATTCATTAATACTCAATAATATTTATTAATATCACTCAATAATAAATGTATCATCGAATCGAGATACTTTTTGAACCGTTTTGATAGTGTCATTTTGTCGAAATTATAACTCGTAGAATTTGGCCTATTCTTCAAAATAAAGTAAAGAATGACTGCGTTCAGCAGAGAAAGCTGCTTTGCAACTGTCGTAAAATTCGTGAATCTGATTGGAGTATGCTCTTAATTTTGGTTGAATCCAAGAGCATGCACCAATCAGATTCACGAATTTTACAATAGTTGCAAAGCAGCTTTCTCTGCTGAGTACCTATTAAGGTGCGATTTCACGCAGCGAATAAAAGCTGACGTTTCATCCCACTTCATCAATTTTCACCGAAATGGCGAATGTAGCGAATAAACGCTCAAAATTCGACACAGTCCAACTTTTAGCGAATAAAAGCTAGCATTTATCACCACTCCATTAATTATCGCTAAAAAGACGAATGAAGCAGATAAACGCTCAAAGTTCGACACAGTTCAACTTCTAGCAATTTAACTAGATCAAGTGATTGTAGTTAATTGTAGTGATTGTAGTGAATAAAATAGGCCATATAAACCCGATGAAAAATTTTTTATGCATAATTATGTATGAAATTTATCCATACATAATTATGTACAATCATATAACATTATATATCATCCCAGCAAACACAATGTTACATGTAACGTACTTATTAGTTGTGATTTCCTACTCAACAATATAACTATTACATAACATGCATGTTATATAACAGTTATGTTGTTGAGTAGGAAATTACAACTAACATGTACGTTACATATAACATTGTGTTTGCTGGGATTATACACAATTATGTATAACAATATGTATAATTACATATAAATCTATGCGTAATTATGTAAAATTACATATGAATTTATATATATAATTATACATGATTATATATATAAGTAGAATGTATGAACATGAATGGACAAATTTGATATATAATAATATATAATTATATATGAAAAATTTTTCATTGGGAAAACAGCAAATTATAATAAAAACAAGAAATTATGGCTAAAGGGACTGATAAATTGACAGCGCCTGATAATACAAACGAAGTTAGTATATATTATATATGGTCAGCATATTTATATAGGTTATAACTTATAGGCTACTCTTTGTATTTTATTTATTTATATTAAATTGATTAACTTTTTCGTTTTATGTATTTTTTCTTTTTCAACAAATACATCGCTGCAACTGCAGCAGCCCTTATAGAAATATCATACTAAGAATCATTGATAATTACTTATTTTCAGTATTAAAAATACTGGATAATAAGTAATTATCAATGATTCTTAGTATGATATTTCTATAAGGGAGCTATATGTCGTCTTCGAACTTCACCTATAATTGCCACTGTACATCTATAATAATTTATATACTCCATATCTCGATTATAACACTCCATTTTTATACGTATTGCAGTTTATACAGGAGATTAAATGTGGTAAATAGGATATGGGCGACAGCGAACAGCGTTATAACGCTACTTTGAACTATGCTGAAGTGGGGATAAAACGCTAGCTTTTACTCACTCCATGAAAAGAAAATACAGATGATAGCGAACAACTTTTAAACGCTGCTTTGAACAACAATGGAGTGGGGTGAAACGCCAGCTTTTATTCGCTGCGTGAAATCGCACCTTTATGGACTTCTTCAGAATCAATTCCGATCGGAATAATTCCGTTTCCCCTAGAAAAGACAATAGAAATCTAGGAAATGAATGTCCGAAGAAATCCATAATAGGTACCCTGAACGCAGCCAATATCTGACAAAATGTCTCAAAATGTGACAAAAATTGAGAAATACTACTTTGAGTGTGCGGTACGTCCGACTCAGAGCCAACGCACAATACATCCGTACCATGTTACGTTAAGTATTGACAAATGGCCATACCTATAGGTAAACTTAAACTTAAATCCACACAAAGAAATCCGTAAACTTACATGTACGGATGCTTGTGTGTGTGTATGCGGAGGCTCTTATTCATTTGTACTACGGCCTGAATTCTTTATGAAGGAAAGTGGAGACTCATAGCGGAGACTGTAGAACTAATTTGTAGAAATAATGGATATCTAATATATTTTATAGCTCCGTTATTTCTGCAAATTAATTCTAAAGTCTCCGCTACGAGTCTCCACTTTCTTCCATGAAGAATCGATATCGTAGTACGATACTATATATGAATAATGTTCTTTTCTTTATTTTGAAAAACCATACTTAAAGAGCTGCCAAACTTTATAAACTTTATGAAAAATTTTAATATTTTATAAATTTTTACTGTTTGTTATAAATAACAACTAAACTTTATATCGAGAGAAAGAACAATTAGAAACTGTAGATCTTAACATGAAAAATACTTCTCGAATGATTTCATTATTTTCTGCGAAGTTAGTGCTCGTTTGCTCGTTGGTTTTTAACTATGCGCGTTTGAAAAAATGAAAATCTTTAATTTTGTAATATTTCTGTTTGCAGTCGTACGACGGATAAACACAAAATTTTCCAGCAAATTGATAATTATTTGTAGAAAGAAATGCGGGAAAATCTTGAAGGATTCGAAGTAAAATATATGTCTGTTGACATTTTATTACTGAAAATCGCGGTCATTGCACGTATACAATTGCCATTATGCTTTATACGTTAATGTTGCACGTCTACATACGTACGTGACACAATTTGTCGGTATTAATCATTTACAAATGTTACAAACAGGTACAAAATTTACATTACTAAAATTAAATATTACTACACAGACGCTACCACCGTTCTCTCACTCGGTGTCATCTATTCATTCGTCAATTATTGAAATGCAAACATTATAAGCGTCAGAGCTTGGTCTCACTCATTACGTGGAATAAAAACGCTCTCGAACGGTACTTGGCATTCCTTCTCTCTTTTTCTCACATACACGCCATTGATTTTTATTTATTATACTATTTTGTTTTTTATCTAAAAACTCACCAAGAATTTTTATGAAATTTTTTCCAACGAGATATAGGTCCATATTTATCGTGGACTCTCATTAATGTTTCACCATATTCTATCTTTGGCCGCTCTTGGCAGTGATAAGTTGCAAGCTTCATACTTGTTTTGCATTTAATAATTCATTTACTCTGTGTCATTGATAGAATGAGAATAATTCCACCGCTGTATTACATACATGTCTTGCATACATTTACTTATGCGATTGTGATATAAAAATTCCTTTAAAGTATACATACATACATACATATATATATATATATATATATATATATATATATATATATATATATATATAATCATAAATAAAAAATTTATACAAAGCACACGTCTGTTCGTTTGAATTCATTTACACATTTGTAGAAGCACTTATCTATGGATTTATCGACGATTCACCAGGTACGTAGGTATGTCAATCAATTTACAAATCAAAAATAAAAAAGGGGCCTATTGAAGTTCAACGCAGGTGATTTAGCGCAGTAAAACTAATAAGATTAGTATGTGTCCTCAGTGAGAGGAAAATTAAATTTATTGATAATCAACAATCATAATGATTTTGATAAATCCCCTAAAAACCATCGTTTTACGTACCCAAATAAATTGTCGATGCGATAATTTGCTAGGATTATGTTCATTTTAAAAATGTGTAAGTTTCGTTACACACGAGTGTACATCGTGAATGCTAGTTTCGAAAAAAACGATAAACCTTTGCACACTTTTAAAATGGACATAATCCTAGCAAATCATCGCATCGATAATTTATTTAGGTACGTAAAAACGATGGTTTTTAAGGGATTCATCAAAATCACTATGATTGTGTATTATCAATAAATTTAATTTTCCTTTCACTGAGAACATATATTAATCTTATTAGTTTTACTGCACTAAATTACCTGCGTTGAACTTCAATAAGCCCCTTTTTTATTATTGAATTGTTTCAAGGAGTTCTATTTCTTTTTTTTTTCTATCAACTTACAAATGTTGTTCATTGTGTAGCTCGCAAATCTTTCCGCACATGTTTTCTATTTTCGAGCATCACACTTTAGGAGCTACGTTTATTAAAAAAATACTATTCTATGTACGATAATATATACAACTCAATACTGTATTTAATATTTACAACAATATTAAATAATACTTCAAATTAAATTGCTCGTATAAGTCTGGTCCCGCGTCATCTCAAAATAGTCTTTGTACTAAAAAGAGAAAAAATCTGGAAAGTGACTGGCCATTCTTTCATTCTGAACGTTAAACTTTTGCAGAAAATATTAATCCGTAACGACGAATTAGTATGTTCGTGCATGTCTTTAGAATCACTTCTCAGACTTTTTAACCGCTGATATATAAAAATTAAGCTATAAAACTATACATCTGTAAGACTGTAAAATCTATTTTTTCATTAGGGATTTGCAATAGTTCCTCGAATTATCGATCATTTTACTGGCTCAAAAAGTACCCCAGATAATTTGCAAATATTCATTTGATAGTTATCTGAAAAGTGTCAGAAAGTAATACATAATAATGATGAATATTTAAATTGACCATGCATGTACATGTGTTTCATTGCTATTAGTAAAACACACATGGCTGCAAATCTAGTAGATTTTTGCAAGCCTTCAATATTTCAACTATTATATTTAAAAAAATTATATAAATATAATATGTACGCGCGCCCACATATTGCCTGTATCACTTATACATATAAATATAAATATAAAACAGCTGAATATATCTAGTATTTTTGCAACATATTCGGCTGTTTTTTCATTAAAATATAGGACACTGCTTCTATATGTATATACAAATTCTGTGTGTATGCGTATGTGTTTATGCCTATGTGTATACACACATAAAGTACAAAGGAGATATGTACATTATACATACTTAATATGTAAAGAAAAAGATTAAATCTGTCAAAAAATTACAAAAATATATGTGTTGTATTGTAACACACATACAGTGTATTGACACATATACACAGAGTGTCTCGCCATTACCAATTATAATTATGTTATACTGTTACAATAATATTTGTGGCTCTAAGACGCCATTGCCAACACGAGATTCACCGCATGTGAGCACGCAAATTTTGTGTCAACCTGATTGGTCATCTTTAAACGCCTACTACTTAAGTAAAAAGAACTACTAGCCTCAACAATTTTTGTACTGAGACCTTCATTTCAAAGTGTCGTCAGGAATGTGCGTTAACAAATGTCGCGGTAGCGATGAGACACTTTATGTATAATCTACAAGAAACAATTATATGCTACTGATACAATGATCTAAAGCAAAGATTTGTCGATATTTAAAATGACATATTGGGGGGTCGTCGTTACGGGTTGCGATGCGAGTGCTCCGAGTGCTCCAGCTTGTAGTCTGGACGGTCCAGCTTGTGGTCCGGACGGAGAACCAGATGGCCTCACTGCGATTCTCCGGCGAACCGTGTTCTCTTGAACCTGCAAAACAACCGGAGTGTTCTGCACCGGCTCGCAGTTGCTTATCTTCCTTCTCTTCTGAGTGATCGGTGATACTTCTTGAAGATGCAAATGCACCTGGTGCGACAAACTCGTCGCATGGACTTGGCCGAACACCTCGATCTGATTGTTGTTACAGTTTTCTTCCTCCTGGCTCTCATCTTGGTCGTTGTCCAGAGGGTAGTGCGCTTCGACGTGCTCTTCCGTTATAATTTCTTCTTCGTCCTCATGCAAAATATTCTGTTGTCCGTCAACTTCGAGAGTCATGGAATGCATAGATTCCGTGGAATTGTCGTCGCTAATCCCCTCTTCGTCGTTCTCCATATAACTTTCCTCCTCTATATACTCCATGTTGGGATTGCCGACCACGAATTTCATCTCGCCGCGTTCCAACTGCTCAAGCATGTGGGGCTCAGACATGGATAGCGTGACGCCCGCTGGGTCCTTCTTCGAACGGCTCTTCATGGTCTCAACCAGCTTCTTGGTCTTGTCAGGAGCGTATCTCCACAGACCCCCTTTCTTTTGGGTACTGTTTTTCGGCTCGCCGTCACCTTCATCGTCATCGTCGTCATCAACCTTCTCGAATCTGTTGTTTAACGAGAGATTGTGTCTCACCGAATTCTTCCATCCTGCTGGCGCGGTCCTGAAGTAAGGAAAATGGTAGCTGCAAGAGAGAAAGACAAAGGGAAATGAGACTCATCAAAATTCAAAGATAGCTAGTTTGGTCGGATGACAATCGCAAAACCTCGCCAAGTCGAACTTTATATTTTTTATTGTATTTTTATTTGATTGTATTAAGTATTTAAGAGCATAAACGACAACGTTCGGTTCGCCCCTCAAGTTTTTATCTTAATAATATTTTTAACTATAATTTACTGTAGTAGTCGCTTTTATACGCAATATAATTAATAATAATGATTACAAGAGATGGAAATATTCTACACGTACCATATAAAACTGTAGATATCGCAAACCCGCAGAGCTCCCCGATAACTATTCTTCAAGGCCAACATGATGAGGACCGAGTAAGAATAAGGAGGTTTCGGATACTGAGATGAAGCATCGTTTTCGTTCGTCGACTGCGTCGACTGCGGCTGATACGGCGGGATTATCATTGGCGGTTCCCGTTTTTTCCTCCTGTCCCGTTTAATGCGATACACAGCGTGCTCCGGCGACTGACTCGATTCCGACTGCGACAATCTCATCAGCTTGATCGGCGACACCATCAGAGACGAGACCGAGGAGCCATCCACGTCAACGTCCGCGACATTAGTCGGTGACGACAACGGCGTTCGGAAATCCGGAGGTGTCAGCAATCCTGTGTCCTCTTGTCCTTCATTCTCGAGCTTTATTTGTGTTTGCTCATTCTCTTCCTTAATCTCCTGCTTTAGTTCTTCCTGCAGCAGCTTCTTGTCCTCCTCCTCTGCTGCTTTCATCTCATCTTCCGTCAATCTGCCGTTTACATCACTGTGTTCGTCCTCGCTTTCTTTACTCTCGTTACCCGGATCGATCGGCTCGGTTTTTATTACAGGTTCACTTTCCGCCACGGGCTCGTCTACTATTACAGATTTATCGCTGTCCTGGTTCTCGACATTGTCCTCGATTTCGAGCTTCTCCTCCTTTACACTTCCTTTCGTTTGTACTTCTTTGTACAACGGCGCGATAGGCAGCACGAGCGGTATCACCTCGTTCGGATTCAACAAAGGCAGCGCGTCGCTGTCGCTGAGATCATGTTGATCCATAATCTGGCTACGTTGGTCCATGTTCCTGAAAGAGAGATTAATGTAAGTTTTTCACGAAAATACAGGTCGAGGTTACAATTCTTGAGATTCTTTCTTGAGATTCTTGAATTCTTATAGACGAAAACTCGAATAATTCGGATGTTGTTTACGTGTCATAAATTACCATTACAAAATTTCTTATATAATTCCGCTCATTTATACGACATATATAAAAGTTTGATTTAGCTTTGTAATTGGTTCCGCGTTCTTCACGGATTTGTTTTCGACGTTTCGTAAACGTTTGTTTCTTCGGGAGATTTCTTCCGCAAAGGAATAACCTGAGCCAGCTTTCTAACGACGGTCGCGAGCATTCGAGCATGTTCGCGATCCTCCGCGGAAGTGTGTCCTGAGAGTTTCATGGCAAAGTGGTCTTACCCGCTGGAACTATCGTTGAGTTCGCCAGGTTCATCTCTCGGCGTTTGCAACGACATGAACAACGTGTTCAAATCGGGAGGATTATCTATTTCCGTGCTCAGGTATCGATGTAGATCCCATATTTCGTCAAGGTTGAAATACTGGCCATCATCCTTCAGGTGTCGAAAGATATCTATGTTCACCATCTTCGTCGGCCTGATATCGGCCAAGTTCTCAGCGTACAACATTCAGTAGACTGTAAAAAGAGAGAAGCAATCGTTTAGATCTAAAAGACTGAAAGACCCGCCGAGATTTATAAAACTAACGGCTCTAATAACGAATTATTGCCCTGCTCTGCGACTCTGTCGCGTCTTCGCTGGTCTGCCCGTCTCGTGGCGCTCTTACGTTACGCTCACATCGTTACGTTACTCAACATTGACTGATAATCAGGCGTAGCAAGGACAAGACGAAAACATGTAGGTAAGATTTCGAATTACCATTTGAGCGATGCCGATCGTATCCTCCGGATCGTTTTCATTTTACGCATGAAGATCGAGAGCGCAGTGCGCGTATCATCGCGCTCGTGAAGTAGAAATTACAGAACGGATATTCATACTGTAGGAACAGAGACGTGAAAGAGAGTGCAAAGAACGAGGAGGAAGAATCGACGAACAAATCTCGCTCGTGTTCTTCGTTGATTATCGCTCAACAGTAAGCCATCGTCACGCGACAACAATTGTATGCGGAATAAACGCCGTCCAATTTTCCTCTTCAGTCATGAAAGGAAGTTCCAACGTATGTACGGCTCGTATCCTACCCGTTTGGCGGCAAATAGGCTACGGAGGGGTGAATACTCTTGCACTCGTGTGCAAAATCGCCAGATAAGATCATAATCTGATCATCGATCGCACGCATCCGGAAGCGAGAATCGCTTTCCCCGCGGTAGCTGCTCGGCACGGCGCTCTATCGCTTCCCTCAAGACGATGATAATACCGGCCCCGAAAATTCCCACGCTATCTCACATCCTTATCAGCGCGGCGTTGCGTTTACGTGGAGAAGAATGCAACATGTGTGCGCGCTGATGCACTCCACTCGACAAGGCCAATAGATCCCGTGCGTGTGTGTGTGGGTACGCGTGACCTCGCGTGCACGCGTGCGACGTACAACGAGGATCTTGAACCCACAACCGGCTTGTGGGTGTGACTGACTCATAGTACTATAGTCGATTTACTATACGCGCGTGCTCGTAGTACTCTCTTCTCGCTTTCCGTTCTTTTCTCTCTTTTGTTCTTTCCCTCTCTGTCTCGCGCGACGTTTTTGTATTTTACTTTCTCTCTCTCTCTCTCTCTCTCTCTTTCTCTCCTTTCCTCTCCTCTTCTCTCCTCTGCTCTCCTCCTCACTACCTCGCCGCTCTCCTCGTTCAACCTTTCCTCCGCAACGCGGTGTTCCTCGGATCGAGAAACGAGATCCCGGCATCGGACCGACCGGTTGGTTATGCGGCTCTATGCGCGTACTCGCGTAGGTACGGCCCACAGGTTACGATACAGACTGTCATCTTGTCGTCTCTCTTGGCAGCGTTCACACTTTGATCCATTTAGTCTGTATAACCACGTCTCCCTTTTCCGATATTCCGAATGTGAGAGCTTGTCTCGAGTCAATCTCCCGCGAATGCCAATTTCTCGCGTGGCAGATTGCAAGAGAACGACGGAGAAGAGAGAGGGCCCGAAGGGGCTCGGTTTGACGGCGCTGGCGAAAGGGAGGAAACGCATACTGGCGCATTGTGCTCGGCCGTGGCGGCGGAGGGAACGAAAGCGCGTCTTAGAGACAGAGGCAGACTTGAAAAACAGACGAAAATGAAGCGCGGCCGAGAGGGCCCAAGGTTGTACTCGTCGAGGTCCGCGGGTGAAGGATCAACGCGCGCGCCCGCGCGCGTCTCTTAATGCCGCTCTCGATTACTCCACTCCTCCCTTTATGCCTCTCTACAGGGTGTTCCGGACGTCCGCAAGTGGATATATCCACCGGAGGATCTGCGACTCGTCCTCTCTCGCAACTCGCCGAACATTCGGCACCGAGTGATCGCGCGCGCGCGCGCGCGAAGGGGTTACGCCACTCTAGCGTCCGAAAATCCAGCGTATTTTTGGGAATTTTTTGTAGGCAAACAAAAAAATAAATCGAAAATCTGTCCGGAAGACTTTATTGTGCATGTTTTAAAGTGTATACTCAAATTTTTATGTTAACATATATTACAAAATGGCAGCGCTAGAGCCTTGTCAGCATGAGCGGAACGGAGCTCCAGGGCTAGCAGCATAAGTGTCGCAAATGTTGATCTAGAACAAAAAACCTAAATTTTCCGTCATCTACATGCCAATAGCTAGAGAAGTACGTAAGGAATTTTTGATATATTGAAAATTACGCATTTTATAAACAATTTTTGATGAAATTTTTAGAGTACAAGATGAAACTTTAAATGCGTGCCATTTCTATAAAAATAAATATTTTAAAAACCCCCTACGTACTTCTCTAGCTATTGGCATGTAAATGATGGAAAATTGTGGTTTTTTTGTCCTAAATCAACATTTGCGACATTTATGTTCCGAAAAACACGCTCATGTTGACAAGACTTTAGCGCCGCCATTTTGTAATATATGTTAACATAAAAATTTGAACATACACTTTGAAACACGTACAATAAAGCCTTCTAAATGGATTTTCGATCCATTTCTTTGTTTACCCCCAAAAAATTCTCCAAAAATACGCTTAATTTTCGGATGTTAGAGTGGTATAACCCCTTAAAGTTGGAATTTGTTAGCCTCCGGCAGGTGGCCGCGATGGGCTCGTCGTCTATTGGGGGTCGCTGACTCCGGCGGATGCGGCATCCTCGGGCGCGGATAGAGCTATTCCGGGTCGAGCGAGTCTCTCCTCCGCATAATTGGAGAGCTGAATCGAGCAGTGCGCTTCGCCGCGCCAGAAAGCGCAAGGATCGAGACAACTAATCCGGACACGATGTGCATACGCGTCAACGACGTCGTCGTCGTCGTCGTTGACGACGACGACGACGACGACGACGACGACGGTGCGCGCGCGTGTGGATCCGTTCTTCTCGCTCGTTAATTTCGCACACTTTCCGCAGCAACTTGCCCGCGCGCGCGTTGATACACCCGGCGAATTATTACATCATTGACACGGCCGACCGAGTAATTCGCCGACGTTACAACAATCGGGCGAGGAGGATTTCCCTTTCACCGTACTTTCAAGACTATGCAAGCACAACGGGCGGGCGGGCACACGGTTTCGTTCAGAGCCTCGAGTTACTCTCGCAAAATAGAGATGATCCATGCAAATCGCTCTGGCGATAGCGCAAACGCGGCGCGCTAAAGTGAATAATTCGCCATAAATTGGTCGAGGATTGCAAAGCCGATATCTGTATCAAGTCGAGGGAAATTATCGTTGAAACGCCACAAATCGATCTGAAATTCTTCAAGAAGGGTAAAAAGAGAAAGGTGAGGTGAGAGCGTTATAAAATTTGAAATATACCGATTAAGTTTCAAACTTGAAATAAAATGCGAGGTTTTCAGCTGAATCGCGACTACATGTAACGCTGCATATATTATATGATTCATATAAAAAAACTCAGATGCATCTCCTGGTAAAAATGACGTCTAATAACACTTTATCTCAACTCTTTTTTACATAAAAAGAGTTCCGGAACTCTTCAGAACAAAAAAGAGGAAAAGTGTTATTAGACATTCGATACTTTTTGTTACTCTTTCATTTCCGCCAGAGTCACGTGGAGTAAGTTTCGCATAACAATCATTAACTCGTCATTGAAAAAATGAAATCTGATGGATCTCTTTTTTCTGTTTTTTTTTTTTTGTATTTTTTATTGTATTTTTATAATTTCTGAAACTTTATAGTGTGTGTCTCTCATGATTTTATGGAAACTCGCTTATATATATATATATATATATATATATATATATATATATATATATATATATTGTCGAAGTTCGCATCTCCCCGAGTATACATTGATGGCGAAATTTCTCGCCAGAAGATATTTGAGATTTTGACGAAAACATTCCGGCCGGAGTCTTGATCGCCAAGGTGCGCTCGTCGACACCTTAACCGACCCCGGGCCCTTCGCGACTATAACCCAGTCCTGGGTGCTGCGCATTTTGTCGGTGCCTGAAACACCTGACGGAACGTCGGGCGGCAATGCGCGATGCAACTGATAAATAGGGGGATGCACGGATACTATAGAGAAAGAGGTGGAGAGGGAGGAGGCAGTGGAAGACACATGCGGCGCAATTCGGAATGCGAACGCGCATATCCACGCACCGGCCGACACACGGAGGGATTGTCTTTGTGGTCTATGCCGAACGAAACGAGCCAGCTCGGGGTGTGTTTAATCGCCCTTACGCGATGCATGATCAAAGTAGAAAAATTGTGTTTCGCGGAAAGACAAAAAGGAACAGAATAGAACACGAGATACGAGGCGTCGCGTCGATCGTAGCGACACAGCTGCCGTATAAAAATTGAGAGAGGATGACTCGGGCCGAGAGACAGATGGTTGGGTAGACAAAGAGAAAGAGAGAGAGGGAGGGGACGAGGGAGAAAAAGAGAGTACCTCGATAATTCATTTATCGGATTTCAACGGAGCAGAATAAATGGTTAATCGAGCGACGGAAATAAAAAGTCGTGTTTTAGTCTGATGGTAGTTACATATCGATACTTTATATCTCGTTATTTCTGAAAGGGCGACGAAAACGGGAAAAAACCGCGCGAAACGCGGAAAATTTCCGATAAAAGAGAGCGGATGCAAAAACGCGAAAAGGAGAGGAAACTTCAATTGTACAATTATCGCAGCGAGAGCACAACGAGCCCAACAACGGGCCCGAACGAAGTCGACCGGCGATCAGTCGCCGCCATGGCGATCTCGCGTGAGCTTGGCCACGACTTCTTTGTGATCGCGCTCCGACCGGGAAACCGGTTTCATTCGCGCTGGACTTCTCTGTCTCTTTCTTTCTCCCTCTTTCTCCCTCCCGCTCTCTCTTTTGCCGTGTGTGTGAAGCAAACCGAATGTGAATTGCCCGTCCCGATAAATGAAACTTTATCGACGAGCGTGTGAACACACACGAAACCGATCGGCCGCGCTCACGACTGTCGATCATAATCGGCGCATGATAAAAATGTGGAGAGAATGCGAGAGAAAATTCAGCGCGATAAATGTGTACCTTTCGATCGATTAACGGAGTTATAATACCGCGGGGATATATACGCGCTCTGCTCGCCGTCGAGTACCGAAAATAAAAGCGCAGCTGGAACGAAAACGCGCGAGCTTCCCCTCTCTCTCTTCTTTCCCTAAAGTTTACATGTATAGAGACAAACGTCCCTTCCTCCGTCGCCCCGCCATTGATTCGGGTATTCCACCCTGTAGGGGCTGCTGTGCGTGCGTAATCGCAGCCTCCGACCTCGGATCTTGCGATGGACCGACCGTAGATACAGACCCCTCTATACGCCCCTCCTGCCCGCACTTTTCGCCGAGTATCGATCTGATATGCTTTCCCCTCGTGTCACCGACCCTCCCTTGTCGTCCACCCTCGTATCCTTCCTCCCCTTCGACTGGCATTTGCTAGCTGCAAGACTGTTGCACCCTGGGTTCGTCAGGGCGGCACCCTAAACCCCCTCTTCATTGGGTTCCCGTTTGAAAACTCACCGGGCTCTCTCTCCCTCTCTCTATCTCTCGCTTCACCCCTTATTCAACGCAGGCCGCTCGTTAACCCTTAATGCCTCGCACGCCGGCTGTACCATTGCCACTACCTTTGTGAAGAGAAAGAGTTTTATATGCTGCCTAGAATTCGTCCACTGGTATCGTCTTTTTTCCAACGAGATAATGCAGTATTTGAGAATCCTTGCTCGTCCAAGATTTTTCCTAATGTTCATGAATACTTCGCACCATCTCGTCTGATGATTTGCACACCAATCGGGTTTCTATTTCAATCCCGAGATTCTCATCGGAAAGCGATACACGCTCCTAAAATCGCTTATATCGATTTCGTTTACCGCCTTTCGTGTACTTCACTTTCTAATTCGTCTCGGCGCCGTTCAATTCCCTCGGACTTTGTCCGCGCGTTATTCCCTCGAATTGGACGGATATAGCATCGATATTCTTTCGGACGCGCTTACGCGTGACGCTTTGCGGCACGCACAATGACGTCTCTGTGCGCGCACCTCGACGTGCGTACGCGTATGTCATCGTACGCACGTGGTCGCACGGAATTGGCGCGAAAAAGTCTCGCCGTCGCGTTACACCGTCGGCGGCCGATAATCACGCGTGCCTCGCGTCGATACACCGATACACAGCGACCATGAGATTAGCCCAAAATATGCTCCTTGCTTCCTGCTCCTGTCTCTTTATTTCTTTCTATGACTTAAACTTTAAAGCTTGATCTACAATGTGTTCTTTGCTTCCTGTTCCTCTTTATCCCTTTACGACTCAAATCTTAAGCTTTAAGCTTGATCGATAATGCGTTATTTGCTTCCTATTTCTTTATATCTTTCTGACTCGCACCTTAAGTTTTAAGCCTGATCTACAATATGTTCTTTGCGTTGTTTTTTGTCTTCTATCTTTTTCTGGCTTAAAGCTTACAAAGTTTGAGTCAGAAAGAGATAAAGAGAAAGAAACAAGAAGCAAAGAGCATATTGTAGATCAAGCTTTAAGCTTGATCTATAATGTGTTATTTGCTTCCTGTTACTTTTTTATCTCTTTCTGACTCAAAATTAAACCTTAAAGCCTAATCTACAAGGTGCTCTTTGCTTTCTGTTTCTTGTTCTGTCTTTTTTTAGTTTAAGGCTTAAGGTGTGAGTCAGAAAGAGATAAAGAAAAAAAAAAAAAAAACAAGCAAATAACACATTGTAGATCAAGCTTAAACTAAAAAAAAGACAGAAAACAAAAAACAGGAAGCAAAGAACATATTGTAGATCAGGGTTTAAGATCAGAAAAAGACAGAAAACATGAAACACAACGCAAAGAGCATATTGTAGATCAGGTTTTAAGCCAGAAAAAAAAACAGAAAACAAGAAACATAACGCAAAAAACATATTATAGATCAGGCTTTAAGTAAAAAAAAAGACAGAAGACAAGAAACAGAACGCAAATAGCACATTGTAGATTAATAGGTCTTCTTCAGCCAGAAAAAAATAGAGAACAAGAAACAGGAAGCAAAGAGCACCAGGCTTGAAAGGAGAAGGAAAACAAAAATGAGACAGGGAGTAAAAGAATATCATACGTGAAATGTCTGGAAATTTTGAGCAGCACCGTCATGATTACGAATTGCCAATTACAGGGATTCTTCCTCCCGCAGCCGCGTGTCCTCAAGACAGTCGTTGGAAATTTTGCATGTGATCATTCAATGACATCGTGAGATCAATTTTGAGGCCAACATTCAGACGACAATCGGTGCGTTTTGTTTCCCTTGAGCGGGGTAAAGCTGCTAGCCGTCCATAAACGTTTACCCAACGATTCCATGCGCCAATACTCGGCCTTCGTATTCATACGTAACGCGCTGTTGTCACCTGGCTGATGGCAAGTACAGCACAGCATCGTTTCGATTAAGGCTAGGGCGCACTAATATTGATTCAGCGTGACTTATCGCGTCTTCTCCTATTCGCGTTACACACTACGAGCTGCGATATAGAAATGAGAGAGAAAAAAAAACGAACAACTGTTCATCTCTTCTTTCAAACCAAAACTTAAAAAAATTAAAAAAAAAAAAAAAAAAAAAAAAAAAAAAAAAAA